CTAATAATCATCAGTATAACACAAAATTATTTATACGTCAGGGGTTTCAGTGTGTCCAGTTAAGAAGAATAAAGCAGTGCAAACCCGCTTTACCTGCTTTGGTAAAAATGAAAGTGGCAACAGGTGCAGTGGAAAGGCAAGAATTCCCAAAAAGGGAATGGTTTAGCCGGTTGTGGCCCCAGGCCATTGCTTTCTCTTTCTCCCTCTTGTGGGATTTTTTTTTTTCCCCTCTATAGTTTTGCTTTGTTTTTCTTGTCACTGTTAGTAGCATGGCACAATACCCGCAGTCCATTCAGGTTGCAAAAGTAGTCTAGCTCCTCCAGGATGGTACAACCCAATTTGCAGAGTTTAGGAGTGCAGTGTAGATCAGGGCGGTAGAAAGGCATGAGCCCAGCAGCAGGACCAATGTTTCACACATGTTTCTGACCAGACACAAATGGACTTCATGAGGGCCTGACGTCCTTTGTGCTCACAGCCCAGAACGATGCAGCTCAGTTGGTATTCGCCGGAGTAAACAGGAACTGACTTGTCTGTTACTGTTATCCTGTTATCTTCTCAGATTATGTTGTAGGCATCGAAACATTTACCACAGTGTTTCAGACTTTTCCATGTCTGACACATTACTCGTTGTGAACCTCTTCTCATCTGTGAACAGAACTGGGTGCCAGTAGCAGACCTGCCAGTTCCCATTCATTGGTGTTTGCCCAGCATTCACTTTTTGGAGGTTGTCTTATTGTTTCCTCTCTAGTCCTCTTTCATTTGCACCAAAGCAGGTGAAATGAATTCACAAAGGTGTGTGCTTCCTAACTGGACAGATTGATCCCCAAAGTTTAACTATATGTTGTAAAGTGTAAAGTGTGCGTGTTAGTCCCCATAGGGAAATAGTTCCTCTGCATATAACCCATTCACCCAGTGAAGCAGTGGGCAGCCGCCAGTGCAGCGCCCGGGGAGCAGTGTGTAGGGACGGTACCTTGCTCAGGGGTACCTCAGGGCAGCCGTTCAGTGGAGTCGAACCCCCGACCTTCCGATCATGGGGCCACCACTCTACCTACTGAGCTATCCCTGCCCTTGATCATTGTAGTCTAATGATCAAGTGTTTTACTTAATCTTTCTTGAGCTGTGTAGAATTAGTAAAACAAACATTACAGAGTTCATTTATTCTGTAATTCATGGTATAATTTCACTGTAATGAAATTACTTTTCTGTGTCCCAAATGCAGCTCTGGATGCTGTGTGATCTGAAAATCCAGTTTGAGAGACATATGAATGAAGGGAAATATCACTTGGCAGAGCCTCTAGCCACAGCTATTGCTGCGTTAAATCAGACAGAGGGTCTTTACAGGTAAATAAGTGAATCTGCAGGCCTTCTTATAACATATGCTGCCCTATACACTTTTTATTTGAGCTGCACAATAACTGTGTGCTCTGTGACAGGAAAGCTCAAGTTCTGAAGGCTCTCAACCGCAGCACTGAAGCATACAACATCTTACAGCAGCTGCAGGCTCGCTGTGAGAAGGCTAAGTGTACAGAGATGGTTATCAGGTAGGACCCGGTTTTCTCATACCGTTACGGCTCCATTTAATTTGAGTAAATGCACTTATTCTACTATCATTTATTTTTATTTGTCCAATCAAACTTATTTAAAAGGAATTAAGTTCAAACTATACATCACAGTTGCAAGTCTTAACTGTTCTCCTGTAAGATATAAAGATCCCAACATAAATGTATTTTGGCCTTTATGCTTCAGAGATCACACAAAGTCATTTTATGTCTCTTTCAGAGTGATGCTGTCGACTGCTGAGCTCCACTGGGAGTCGTCTGGCTTCTCCACAGCTCTTCCTGTCCTCCTGCAGGCCTTGGCTCTGGCTAGACAGCACCACCTCCAGTCACTGGCCTCGGAAACCATCCTTCACCTGGCCTTCACTCAGGTCAGCTGCAGCATTAAAAGAGACTTCACTTAGCTGTGCAAATACCAGCTTGCGTTTATGCAAAAATCCCCCACATGGTTTATTTATTGCATTTGTTGTCTCTCGTTTCTGCAGCTGATGTTGGGGGTTCCTGAGCAAGCTCTGAATGTGCTGCATGAAGCCATCGAGCCTATTCTGGCCCACAGAGCAGTCATGGACAAAGGTCGTGCCATGCTGCTGGCAGCCCGCTGTCAGATGGCAGTGGCTGGGTTCAAGCCAAACAGACAAGGGCAAGCAGGTAACAGTTTGCTCCCCTGACACACCACCTCACCACATATATTGTTCCTCTGCTCATAATGCTGCATGGTTTTCATCTCCATTTGGATACTGCTGTTTATGTCCCAGCAGACTTGCGTTTAGCAGCTTCAGCTCTCGACACACTAAACGAGGCCGCCGCCTATTTCTCCCAGCTGAACTGTAAGGAGCGGCTGCGGGACGTGCACTATCTGCAGGCTCAACTCCACCGCTCTCTGGGACAAATCTTGGAGAGCAACAAAAGTGCCATGCTCTTCCGGCTATTGGACCAGGAGCTGCAATCGCCAGCACCGCCGGTCTCCATGCGGCTCTAAACTGCTCCCACTGCCCCATCAACAAAAACTGAACTGAATCACTGCAACTCACCACTAGATGGTGCCGAGGCTCTGTCCTGTTTTCTAGACTAAAACATTTCATTTGTGGCTGTGTTGAAAGAGAGGTGTTTGTGAAACATTTTGCACGGAGTAACAGGATGATAACTAAAAATGTAACATGACAGCAGCCATGAATTAAAATGAGTTTCCAGTACAAGAAGAACTTGTCCATTGTGTGTTTACTTACAGATATATGCGAATTTGAATGATGGTCCTAAATATAACATGTGCTTTAATGCCTTCCACCATAGCAAGTTAGTCTGACAGAAATGCATGTCACGCACCTGTGTAGGTTTAAAAAAAAGAAAAGAAAGAAAAGTCAAAAGTTTAGATCAAAAGCCGACACGTGGCGTCCCGATGCACCTGCTGCGTTTTGATGAATGAGGGTAATATCAGAGTTGGCGACGAGATTAATGCATTCACTAGTGTGGATGATCCTGATTTTGCAGGAGGAATACTGATGAAGCCAAAGGCCATATTAGGAAATCATATCAACACAGATACTGTGTATATAAATGGCACATTTTTCTGAATTGTTTGCAGCAGTTATGTTGATTTATCAGAAACAGAATACTTTATTGATCCCTGGGGGAAATTATTTAATGTGTTCTGCCTGATGCGTAATACATTCATTGTGTCATGTGCTTCCCTAAGGAAAATAATTGGCTTCATCTTGGTTAATTTACATTTGGTCTGGCAAAAGTAGTCACAGGAAACACCTGCAGGAGGAATATGCTTACGCTAAGGTTCTCAGTCGTTGTGCTCGAACCCCAAAAATTCCGGTTGAATGAGTTTAAGTGGCGTGTTTGTCTTCCTGTACTTCTGTTGATAAACAGATTTCTAGTAAAGGCAGCCTTGTTGTCTATGCAAATACCACAGTGCTGTGGTAATTGGCACAGAGCCATAAAATACATGTATTTACATGTTTAGCATAATTGCAAGTGTCACCGAGTAGACTTCATGTAGCAGTTCCTCAATTTAAAAAGTGACAGTTTGTGTTATCATAGAGATTTGTAGCATGTGGATTTCAGTGCATGCTTTTTTTACCCAGTCAGAGCGGAGCTGTCTCCAAGAATAAAGGTAAATTTCACAAAAGTAACGCTAATAGACCTTAAAAAAAACTTGTTTATAAGAAAATGATGCCATTTCTCCTTTTGAGTTATTTTCAGTCCTTTGCCTTAAAAGCCACACAGGGAAAAAATAAGTGTCTAACCGATCCACTAAGCCTTTAATCTTTGTTCATTGTGTGTGTTCTACTGATTAAAGTAAACAAGTTAATAGTGTATTGTATAAAATGTATCTATTCATAGTTTGTGTAGCTGTTATATATAAAACGGCAATAGAAGCAGTCCCTGCACCCCTCCCCCCACTCTGTACAAGGCTAATAAGTTCGCAGGTTTTGCTTCTTACTGATCTAGTGGAAATAATCTAACTGAATGTTGCTTTTGAGCCCTGTCAAGTCCCTGAGTGCTTTCCATCTTGTGAATGCCTGTCTAAGGTTCATACTTGTCTTACTTGCAGTTTCCGTGACTCTCTTGCTTTGACTTCTTTGCCTCCCCCAGAAGGGCATTAAAGAATGCAGGGTGGCTGATACAGGTTGCAAGATTACTCCAGTCCAGCATCCATTATGGAAAGCTATCTCGAAAACAAAAATGCTTCTTTTTTTTCCTGTTTTCAAGATTGCACCATTACCTTGGGAGATGTTATTCCCAGTGGGAGACAAAATTTCATTGCTAAAGTCAGGACAAAAGGGAGGCAATCTGAAGGCTGATGTTGTCATTAGTCTACAGCCATAATGCAATTGACATTTAATGTCTTAGCACAACTGTCCCATCTGTTTTTAGTTGGTTTCTAGCAAGTCAAAGAAGGTGTGCAAATAAAACAAAAATAGAAAAAATAACAACTCAAGTAAAGTACAAATCCCTGAAGATTGTACTTAAGTACAGTAACAATGTATTTTCACTTCATTGCTTCCCGCTTCTATATAAAGACCAATACAAGAAGTTTGTGAAGGATATTCTAAATTTTACCAGTGCTGTTAATCACACCAGATGCAAAGTGAAATTTCCCATTGTCTACTAGTATTTCATCATGTTGGAAACCCTCAAACATTCACCCCTCACAGGACACAGGGTGAGGCAGAGTACAGCTAATAATTGGAATCAAGCTACTGAAACCTCTTTTCACAAATTGTTATCCTTACTGTTACCATCCTGTGATTTCACTCCCTTCTCTCCAAGTCCTTTTCTTTTACTCCTCAGCCATATAAGGCTGGGGTATTGTTGTCTGCTTACCAGGCAGGTGTGTGGCCTGAATATGCAATAACTGGACAATGAGGCCACATAGGCTTTTCAAATTATACCATAGGAGTATAATTGCTAGGAGCCTGAGCAAATACTCCTAGCTATTTGTTTTTTGTTTCGTTTTTTTGTCCATCTGAAAGAGAAATTGAACCTTATAGTTCTACCTGCTTTTCTTATTATCAATAACATCAGAAGACTCTTCATGACTCTGATGGATCCCAACTGATGGATTGTTGCAACACAGTGTTAAGCAAACTTTTTGCTGTAGCTGAAATATTTTCACTTGCACACAATCTCACATCAAAAAATCTTGTTACACAGAGTTTGCATTTTGAAATAATGTTGCTTCACATTTGGTGTGAATGCGCCAATAGAATCTGTGGATGCAGCTTGCTAGCCAAGTTTGCTAGCGCTAGCTAATAACATACACCCATTTGTGCTCATATGGTAAATTCTGCCCCACCAAATTGCGCTAACAACACCAACACTGAGGCTCTCTCCAAAACCAATGGGTGCCAACATAGTGTCAGTCTTTTATATTGAGTCTATGGTTTATTAGGCTGCTGTAATTGAATGACTTTAAAAACGGCTGTTCAGTTAGTCCAGAATTTCAGACTGAAAAGTCTGAGCAGCTGGAAGAAGCTGGCAGATATTTGTTGCCATCACAGTCATTCTTGTTTCACTGTGAGCTTCATAGTAAAATTTGTCAACAACTACTGATAATTTTCCCAACATTTGGCATTAAAACATATTTTCCATTACGATGTTTCAGTAACTGTTAACTTAGGCAAAGTACTTGAATTTGTTTGTAACCTCTGTAACTACTGACATTTCCATGAGGCTCAGCTGTAATTGTTGTTTGTTTTTGGCAGATGTTATTATATTAGTATAATGCACCAAGAGAAGCGTAAACATTCTATCTCGCTCACATTATGTATGATTGGTATTTAGCTAAAAAACAACATTATAGCTCTGTGTGCTTATAGTAGTTTTCTTCAGGTCTGGATATTAATGGTTGTTGTTTGTTTTTTTTTAAATTGATTTATTAACCTCCTAGGACCTGGCATCCACATATGTGGACATCACATTTTGGGTGATGTCCACAAAATACTTAAATTTTCTCTGCAAGGGCCTGATATCCACTTACGAGGACATTATACTGAGTTCAGGTCTTAGGAGGTTAAAAATGAAAAAGAATTGATGATAGCGCTGGTATACAGACAGACAGAATCTGAGTAACATTGAATTTTGGGTCATTCTGACATTGAATCCATGCTCTGGAAAACAAACTCTCACTAACCTCAGATTTCTTGCGAAATATCCCGGTTCAGAAATAGCACAGCTTCTGTGGTAAAATATAACATCTTTGTTCAAAATGTTTAATAACAAGCATGGCAACAAACATGGCATATGAACAATGCATGTTTAGAAAAATATATCTGCAAATGTATTTTTCAGAATACACTATACATCGACTTAACCTCTACTCGATATTAAACATTTACAATTCAGAAGTGATAGTGTCACGGTAGAAAACAACACGGGCAGTTTCCTTTTGAATAGTGTCCATTTCAGGATCAGCTTACGTCAGGAGAAAAATGTGGGCAGACATTTGAGTAAAACAGGCAAACAACCTGAGATGTCTTCATGGTATACCTGCTTGCAGCTGTTTTGTTTTTTTTAACTCATGCTTCTTTATTTTCCCTTACCAGTTTCACATAAACAAACCCTCCTTTTCCAAACAAACTGTCCAGGTATTAACAAGAGTTTTTCCTTACAAAAGAAATGATATTACCTCGCGGACAACCTCCAACTTGTTGTTGAAACCTATGAACATTTTTTAATATGACATTCCCAGCGTTGGTTTATATTTGGATGTTTATAATAATGATGTGTCATACATGAACTGAAATGAATGTTCAAATGGTTTCTGCTTCAGTTCTCAAATACAACCCTGACCAGTATCCAGTAGTGATGATACAAGAGTCAAACTAGATACAACCTCTCATTTTACTTCAGAACACAAAATTAATGCCAAAAAAAAGAAATCAAGTGATGTTAAATAATTGAGTAAAAGAGGTATTGAAGTGGAGTTAATTTCCATGTTTGATTAAATTAATCTCAGAGAAGGCGCAGTGGCTGTGTCTCCGTAGCTTAAATAATGCTTAAGTCTTCAGTGCAGACACCGTCTCATTGTGATTCTGTCCGAGTGTCTTTGAGGAGACTGTCCCGCTGAGGGGAGCTGAGAAGAAATTGCAGCAATGCTCAGTATCCCGCAGGATAGCCTCCTTTCCTGGGGTCAGACTCTGCACAGAGACGCTCTCCCTGCCGCACCACAGCCTGGACCACCGAGTCTGGAGTCCTTAGCAGCTGCGTTACATGGTTCTTCTGGACCAGACCCTCCAGGACACTCTGGCATAGTTCCACCACACACACAAAAACATAGAGAAATAGTCTTGTGCAGGAGTTTTGGCTTTGTAATGCATAGCACACATGTGGAATTATTTTTTACCTTCCTGACTGCTGGCACATGTGTAAAAGTCAATGTGCATAAATCTAAAACTTGGTTGAGATAAGTAATGTATAAAGAAACACTTGATTCCCTTTCCTTATTATCAAATCTCATTGCTATGTGTTTTTAACCCTGCTAAAGGGATGTCTAAAAATGTGTAGACCTTCAATGTGTCCAGAGGATGAATCCTTGTAACTCTGGTGATGCTATGGCTTTTCTTTCAGTACAAGGTCTGGATCAAGGTCTGATGACCAATTGCCAATTTAGGGAGACTGAAGGTCTCACAGAAAGAAGGAAATAAAAAATCAAACACTTTCATGCCTGAGTCATCTTATCAGTCAGAATCCTCGGAGGTGGGAACAGAGGAGTAGCAACAATCTTTCACTCTAGCTTCTTAATCAACCAAAGATGGAGACAGAGTTTTAATTCATTTGAAAACCTGACTCCTAACCTACACTCTAATAAAAAAAAACATTAAAAAAAACATTTTTATTTTTTGTTAAATTTCATCCATCTCCCCATCCATTCTATCCAATTTACCAGTGTTTTTATCTGTTTTGGTTCAATTGTTTGGTTTTGTCAGTTCAATTGTAGTGGGTGATTTTAACATCCATGTAGACTGTAAAAATGACTGCCTCAACACAGCATTTAATCTATTCTCTCAAAATGTTAATGAGACCACTCACTCTTTAACCATACTTTTGATCTTACTCTGACATGTGGCACAGAAACTGGACATTTGACTGTATCGACATTAACTGCCGTAACTAAGTTTAATATCTTCAACACTGTGTGCCAACACAGTACAGAGCAGCTACCCAAACTTTGCTCCCACAGTGGTTGATTATTTTCTTATAAGTGTAACATCCTCACAGCGTACAACCCTAGATAGTGTGGTTCCTCTAAAAAAAAAAGAAAGCATCAAATCACAAGCGCTTGACTCCCTGGTGTAACTCACAAATGCACAATTTAAAGCACTTAACTGGCAGAGAAATGGCATCTGATTAACAACGAGTTTGTTGCTCTATTTGTTTTTGTTTTTTAAAAAGGACTCTGATTGATCTTTCTGAGTTAATTTCAATAATTGCTTCCTAAAAATCATCGACCTGTCTATTAGGACCCATTAAGACTGCTCAAAGAAGTCTTACCGTTAATTAATGCTTCAATCTCAGATATGATCAGTCTGTGCTGGCAAGTGTCATCTGCTCGTCACAGTACACAAAGAGTGCTAGCTTCTGTACAAAGGATCCTTTTATTGCCTGTGACAGTGGACTCTTGTCCTGCTTGACTTCAATGCAGCATTTCATACTGATGACCATAATATTTTATTACAGAGATTATAGTGTGCTGTAGGTAGGGAGGGATTCCTCCTTAGACACCAATGTTAATTTTGGTGTCCCACAAGGTTCTGTGCTGGGATCAATTCTGTTTACATCATATAGGCTTCCATTTTGTAACATTATGAGAAGGCATAGCATATATTTTCCTTGCTATGCACATGATACCCAGCTTTATCTATCCATGAAGGCAAATGCGAGACACCACATTGAAGGAATATCATAGAGACCTAAAGGTCTGAATGACCTCTGGTGCTAAATTCACTTGGCCCTAAAAATCTTAGAAACGTGGTCTCTAACCAGATACAATGAGTGGTATTTTTTATAGAGAACATATATATAGAGAACACTTCTTCACTGCTCTAGAGTCCAGTGTTGGCATGCTTTATATCACTGCATTCAACACTCTGCCTTGCATTTGGTGATGTAAGGCTTGCATGCAGCTGCTCGGCCATGTTAACCCATTTCATGAAGCTCTCTACACACTGTTCTTGAGCTAATCTAAAGGTCACATGAAGTCTATAGGTCTGTAGCAACTGACTCTGCAGAAAGTTCGCAACCTCTATGCACTTTCTTCATCCGGTGATCCTGCTCTGTGGTTTTATGTGGCATACTCCTTTGTGACTGAGCTGCTGTTGCTGCCAGTCACTTCACTGTGTTATAATCCCACTAACAATTAACTGTGGAATATTTAGTAGCAAGGAAATTTTACAACTGGATTTGTTGCACAGGAAATATCTTATAATGGTACCACACTGAAATTCAGTGACTTCCTGAGAGCCACCCATTCTTTCACAAATGCTTGTTGAAGAAGTCTACATGCCTAGGAGCTCAGTTTTATATACCTGTGACCATGAAAATGATTGGAACTGGAATTTAATTATTTGGATGGGTGAGTAAATACTATGGGCAGTATAGCGTATTGCATTTCAGTAACATTTGTGATATCATAACATCCTGTCTCAGGGTGAGCTTCAGTGGAACCAGCTCTGCCCATATGGAAAAGAAATAGTAAAAACATATATGATTTACTCATGAAAGTGGCCACTTTCATGAGTAAATCATATATAAATCATATAAGGCTTACATGATTTACTCATGAAAGTGGCCACTTTCTCATTACATTCATATATTTTTTAGTAAGTATACAAAACATAGTTTCATTATATGATTTTTCAAGGGATCTTATATGTGTTTTCACTCTTGTATGCTTTTCATACAAGTTTCATACAAGACAGATAAAAACTTTAAAATATTTATATATATCTTTTCCATATGGGTGAGTTTGGATTCATGAAACAGAAAACTTCTGTACCTCTAAGATTAGGCTTAAAACTTTCCATTTTGATAAAGCTTATAGTTATGCTGTAATAGGCCTAGGCTGCTGAGGGCTTCCCACAATGAATGGAGGGTTTCTTGTTCACTCACTTCTAATCATTAGTTGTTATTAATCTACTGGCTCTCTTTCATAGTGTGTCTTTTGCCCAGCCTTGCTCCCCTCACCCCAAACCGGTCATAGCAGATGGTTGTCCCTCCCTGAGTCTGGCTCTCCTGCATGTTTCTTCCTGTTAAAAGGCAGATTTTTCATCCAGCTGTCACCAAGTGCTTGGTCATAGAGGGTTGTCAGATTATTGAGAGTTTTTCTGTATCATTGTGGGATCTTTACCTTACAATATAAAGCACCTTGAGGAGGCTGTTTTTGTTTTTTGGTTCTTTATTTAAAAAGGATTCGATAAATGTAATTGAAATGAATTGTTTTCACTCTTTTAAGGCTAAAAAGACCTTTTTAAAGAAGTGTCGTGAAAATCAGTACACACGTTCTAGCATGAGGAGGATTTGTTATAGCTCTAGTGACCCTTTTGTTTTGAACTTTGTTTTTCAAGTCAAAGATTCATTCTTTTATATTATACTTATACTACATACTATATACTTATACTATACTACATTCTTTTATACTTCCCACTACACTCAGCTAAGTAGCAAAATGCTGCACTCTAAAACAATAAACAACTATTGTAAACAATATACAATCTAAGTATGAGCACAGCAAATTCATTCTACAAAATATGCATAAACATTGCCGCGGGGTGTGGTTTGTGGCTCAGCTGCAGGGGAGGGGTGGAGCAGTGGGTTCAGGGTGTATTGTCAGGGGAGGCTGACTCACACACCTGACCTCATCACCTAATCATGCGTCCCCTGTTAAAGATGTTGTTCAGGAGGCTGTGTGTGCCACAGAAGCAGGACAGCTGGAAAGCTGCACCTTGGAAAAGTGGTCAATAAAAGAGGTTTAAAAACTGCAACTCTGCTGTCATTGGATCCTCGTTGTCACACATATTTTTGTACTTTTGTACTTGATCCTGTTTTCACAGCAATTTTTATAGTCATAGTACACTAATGGTCACATGCATGGTACATTCATACATGCACATTCGTTGCTTATGATACAACTGTAATACTGCTAAGCTATGTTGCTGTCTGTGTGACCCACCTTTTCAAAGCCCTGCTCCACTACTGTCATATTTGGATTAAGCTGATTGTGAAGTCGTGGCTCTGTCACGGCTTTCTTTAGGTCATAGTTGAAAAACAAGGAGTTGAGGATTACCTGTTTTTAGGTAAGAAAAATGACAACATGTATGGGAGGTTTCACATTCCCAAGTCAACATGAGGGTGATGCCTTTGAATGAATTAGACTTACTAATGCTGTGGCTGTGGTGATTTTTGTGCCCCCGGATGCTCCTACAACCATCTTCACTTGGTTTTCTTTGTCAAATATGATAGTAGGACACATGGAAGACAGCGGCCTTTTGCCTAGAAACAGATTGTAAAAAGAAGGTGGATTTGACTGCCTGATAGTTTTAGCAAAGTCATGCTGAATGTCAACAACTCAGCTCAATCACATCATAGTCTATTTGAGACACTACAACAAGCCGGTGACCCACAGAGTGAGAGAGGCGATTAGCTTATTGTATGGCAGCAAAACTGAGGATGAGTAAAAGGCCCTCCTCTGAATCATCCTAACCAGAGGAAGAATCTAGTAACACCATCTATCTTTGAAAAACATGAGGCTTAATTTGGCAAACACTGATATCCATCAACACTGACTAAAGGTCACTGCCCCACAGGGGATTAGAGAAGTACTAGTGTGATAACTCATTTCAGTCACACCTGGTTGAATGAAGTTGTTGGGTGAAGGGGGGATTCCAAACCCATTGGTCATGTATGGAGAGCTGAAGTCATCCATTTCATCATTAAAAATGATCCCAGTAGATCGAGACATGACTTTTGAACCAAAGCTGGGGAAATAAAGCCATTTTTTAAACCTTCACTCAGTGCGCTACATTGTAGTGAAGACAGTTCATTTACATGCATGGCTTTTGAGAGGCACATTTACTGACTTGATGTCAGCCTTGTCAGAGAAACTCACTATAGATTGATGGTGCTCGTTGCTGCCACAGCACTGCCATCCTCAGCAATGACTGACAGATGAGCTGTCCCGTGGTTGTCTGGAACAAAATACTCGGGCTCATAGTAGCTGTCTGGGTGGGTTGTGTCGTCTGTAATTTTGCTCCTTATGCCATCAGCAAAGTAGTCTGAGGTCATGTTTTGGATTAGCTGAAAGGAGCAAAACAAGTCAATTAAAGAGGAGAAAACAGGCATTTCAGACTGTTTAAGAGTTACAAAGTTTCCAGGAGACAATTTTATGGCCACAGTGAGAAAAATTATGCCGTAAATGCTCAAAAAAAGAATGAAGAGGATTATAGCTGGAGCCCTTACATCAGTAATGTTGAGATACCGAGGGTCCCCCAATCTGCTCCTCTTGGCGTAAGCAAAACGAAAAGCCTCTACAATGCGATGGTACGTCAGAGTTTTCTTCTCTGCTGTAGAGACGCTCGTGTCTGAGAAGTTGTACCCTGCAATATATCCACAGGAAAAATACATCTGGAGCGAATGACAGTTAGATGACAATTTACTGGCCTGATCTGATCTTCTCTGTTATTGTGCTAAAAGTCAATGGCATGTTATTAAAAACGGCAATACAAATAGAATAAATGTGAAGGCACGCACCCCTCCAACTTCATATATGAACACATTCAGTGCTCAATTTAAATGAATGATGCCACTTTTATTATGAAGCATGGCTTAATGATTCTCTGCCTGAACAGATGGAGTGTTGATGGTAAATTAAATTTGGCAGGCAGAACTAAGCAGCAGCTCAGTTTTCTGCTTCCAAAGAAGGGAAAGAAACATTCTAGAGATGACCTGGGGAAACCTGAAATCCTCTCTTCTGCATGGCTGCACAAACACTCAGCCAGGCTGCTCACCATCCACTATGTTGAGTATGAGTGCCAGCACAGGGCCACTGGAGGGGGCATCTGGGACATGTATGGTGTATTCCCCGACGTTCAGCTTCAGAGGGTTCTCATTCAGCACGGGCTGGTACTCCAACAAATCTTCCAGGGTGATGATACCACCTGGAACCAGTACAGAAGTGTCGTTGTGAATTCAATAGGAGGAGTAACAACTGAAGCATCTGAAGACAACAGCGGATGAGGATACAGCAGAGCACCTGCCGCCTGGATGTCCTCAACAATGTTCTGTGCCATCGCCCCGTTATAAAACACATCAGGCCCCTCTTCTGCTATTCTTTGGTATGTTTCAGCCAACTTTGGGAATCTAACAATATCATTCTCCTTCAGGATGTTTCTCTGAGAATCACAAAAGACCTCGCTGAGAGAGGGAAGAAAAGAAAACATGTATTAAAGAATATTAACGCCATTGTAAGTAGAAATTGAAACCTTTAAAAAGAACCGCTGTGGTAAACAGCAATGCACCCAATTATCAGAGCAAGATAAGGGTGTAGAAATGAAACACAGATGCCACTGAGTAATATCTGAATAATTTTCACAATGTGTTTTTAAAAAAATATATATATATAAAGGCACAGTTTGACATGAAGCACAGTTATTATAGATATTTTATTTCCATCTAACATTTTGATTCATTTAGATTTTGGTACCTCTGTCATTTCTGCTAAAGCACACCTGCTATGCTCATTTCCATCTTCTTATTCTTGTATTCTCTAAAGTAGAGAATAGTATATAGTATATAAATAGTAGATTCTAGGAAGACTGTTTTTATTTCAGTGAAATAAACAGGGTCAGCCATTTATTTGGCTCAGATTCTGGGGTAATGATGAGGCATTTATCATTAGATGTGCTGCTGGGTGGGTTGCTTTACCTCCAGCAGCAGCAGATTCAGACAACTGTTTTCCCCTGTTTCTGGTTTGATGCTGAACTAAGCTAAGAATAGTCTAATAAGCCAAGAATATCTACTACAACATGTATTAGGCTACTGGCTGTAGCTTAATACATGCTGGCATAAGCATAGTATTTTCTCCTCTAACTCGTAGTTAAAGTGAACACATTTCCCCAAATATCTATTTCTTTTGGTTTACAGTGTATTATTAAGTATTCAGATATGAGAATATCACCCTCACCACATGTTGGCGTCTCCTTGAATGGAATCCTTGCTTTTTAAGATTGCATGAGCCAGGGCTTTTCCAATCGGAAATCCGTCACGAGCCAAGGCAATGCTGGGCTCAAACAGCTCCTTCCATGGCAGCCGGCCATGCCTTTTGTGTGCCATCTCATAACCGCGGATCTCTCCCGGAATGGCTATGGACAGTCCACCTGTCACGCAGAAACAGCAGTACCACTGATTTTAATTTCACAAGCTCTCTTTCTACCCCTTCTCTGAGTGAGGGACCACCATGCTAAGAGACATCAAGATAGTGTGAGATATCTATCGATAAAGTGTTCTCGTCCCAGAGCTTTTAAATGGGGGCAAAGGAAGGTATAATAAGGTTGTTAAGAATGTGAGAACATCTGACAAGAACTCGATGGATTCTAAATCCCTATTAGATCTTGGGTAGCATCAACAACCTTTGAGAATTAAATGAAATCTGGTCTACATTTGGCCAATCAGCACCCGGGAAATACTCCAGCAGAGCACAGCAAGGTGCTACCTGTGCGAGAAAGCTTAGTGTTGTTGCCAAACATGTCCTCAGTGGCGTTCATGGGTGCAGTCTCCCTCGCATCAATGGTTTCCACCTTTCCTGTTGAGCAGAAAACGAGGACTGATTGATCAGTGTCTCCTCGGTTGTCTGTGCTGGCAATTTCTAACTAATGAGGCACGCTCACCTGTGGAAGCGTTATAGATGACAAAGAAGAGCCCTCCTCCGATGCCCATGCTGTGAGCGTTCAAAAGGCCAACACACAGCAAGGCAGCAATGGAAGCATCCACAGCAGAGCCGTTTTTCCTCAGAATGTCTCTGGAAACAAGAGAATACACTTAACAGCTAAGACGCGCACAGAAGAGCACGGCATCTGCTATATGTCGTCTTACCTCCCCACTTCCGAGCACTTTCCAGCATCAGCAGCCACGGCGGCCTTTGAGTAGAAGTGGTCTGAAGTGGGAGGTGTGTTTTTCTTCCCCAAACCCATGAACACCCCCAGGAACAGGCTCACTGCAGCCACCAGAAGGACCACCAGACCAGCAATCAGGGACTTCCCAACCATTTCTCTGCCGGGAG